GTGGTTGTACGTGGTATGTGATTTTTTTTTTCTCTTTTTTTTGTGAAACATTTCTTAGTATAATTGCGCAATCGTCTGAAACGTTAGAGTATCTCCATTTAACAAGTCAGCAAATGCAAAGAATAAGGGTCAGTAACAGTTATAAATCGCCTCCCTAACTTTTGCCTGCATAAAAGGCTGGTTTTCCTTGATTTCATGATATGGTCCCAAATCCACAGAACTGGATGTGTAAACTTTGTTCTTATTCTTCTCAGCTCGTTAAATTTTTAGCTTTTGCCACTGATAATGTTCAAGATACCTTTTGCTTTTTTAACTTATTATTATCTTTTGCTCCCGTGAAAAAGAGAAGAAAAGAATGCCCTAAAGAGACGACTATGTTCATTACAGTCCAGAAGAATGGAGAAGCTGGGAAAGATCAAAATACTTGAAATATGTTAATTTTTGTAGGTAATGTGTATTTGTTACAGTTGGTAGCGAGGAAAAATTGGCTTGTCTTTGGGGTTTATAATTAAATTTAAAGAAAAGAAAGAAAAAACCACAAAGGATTGATTTGAGATTACGACTCTAGACAGAGTGTCAGGAGGTTTTGGTACAATGGCAGTACCCCAAATACACTGTATGATTTCAGCCAAGTGGGTTTCTTCCCCATTTCTAGCAATTCTTTGATTTCACCTGGGGTGAGAGAGCCACTTGCGTGCTCAGATACCTCCTCCCCTCCTGGCAATGGCCTGTCCATCGGCTTTTTCTAAACAAGGCTCTAGTTGGTATATTTATTAAATTTGACCTACATTTCTTAAAAGTGCCAAAGCACTCTGAGATTCTGAAAAAGGTAGTTGACAAAAAAACCAGGATGCATTATTACAGTAGGGTGAAATATTACACCAGTAGTACAACGCAATTATTGCTTGACCTAAAAAACCCTATACTGTCTTATATAGGTCACTTTTGCAACATATTAAACAGTAAATTCTCAGAAGCAGTGCTGGTTCTGAACATTTTACACAAATCCTAAATTATTTTTCTTTTTTTTCTTTTTAATTCTTTTTTTTTTTTTTTTGACATTAGTTAAGTAAAATCACAGAATTCAGCCTACCCATTGGTAGGAACCCATGAGAAAAAAATAAGCCTGGTTTCTTAATCCCCCCAAAATCCAGGCTCCTTAGCAAGAGCAGAAAAACCCATGGATATATTGGTTTTCCTCTTTTAAATACATTTTTTCAGAAGATACACTTAGGACCACTAAAAGCAGAACATTTGAAGAAAATATAGACAAAAAAGACAATTTTTCATGGCAAAAGCAACTAGAGCCTAGATTAATTTTTTAATCCATGACCTAGATTATGGTAAAGAAAAGAAGTATAGTTTAAATTTACATTTTCTATTCACATTGATGCTAAAGAGCAGTTATCCTGCTGTTAAGAGGAACTTTTCAAATTAGACTCACACTTCATGGTCTGCTGTTGAAAAAGGATTTCCAAATCTAATTTTCTGAAATGTCAGAAGTGAAATATTGCCTTTTGTGTTTGTCACAATTCCCTGTAAGTTGGCAAAGAGGATATCACTGCGGTGCTTATTTGTAAAATGTGCTTTGTGAAGCTGTCCTTTGTATCCTTCTGCCAGGCGGAGGTGAAAGAGTGCAGGAGGAAAGTGAAAGAAGAGTTTAGTCTTGTTAGTTTTTAGGCAGATTAAGGGGAAAAAGCCTTTTGGAAGCACTTCAAGCCAAAGAACAAAAACTACTGCTGGTGCTCAAAACACTGTGAAAGCCTACAAAGTTCAAATGAAGCTACTGAAAGGAGAGAGAGCATATATTCAAAATAAAGCAACTCTGTCCCCCTGAGCTCAGGGTTCACTAGTTCCTTCCTAAACATACATCAGTCCCAGACTGTGTTTTCCACACGCTGCACTGGGGCATGGGCCAGCTGGAGGATCAATAGCGTACCTGGTAAAAAGTGGCTGATGAGGAAATAGAAAAGGACTTTGCCTTTAGAAAAGTTATTTTAGGGTGCGTTTTCTGTTTTTTTCTCTTTCACGCATGTCCTGGAGACCTTCAGCTGAGAGAATTTTATTTTACTTTATTTCATTTCATTATGTTATATTTTAACGTGTCTTTGGACTGGAATATTGTGCATTATACTAGAAAACACAATCCCACCCAATCTGAAGAATCTGTAATACTCAAGAACTGGTGCAATATTCATTTTATACAAATGCAGAGACAGAATAATAAAGCGTAAGGCATTTTATGTCTAGTTATATAAATGGTTGTATATACACTTGCTCTTTTGAGTTTGTGAGAAAGACTGAGAAAAATCCCTATTTAATTACAGTTACTGGTTTATATTTTGGAAAGAAGTACCTTTATTAAGAGTCAGAACACCTCCTTACATTCAAGTATAAAATGGTTATGCAGCATATTGCTATAGATAGATGCTATGTACACACGTGTATACATATATTCATACCTCACAAGGAAGGAAAAGTGTGCAAATCCAATTAAAAACAAGCAAAAGCAAAAAATGGCTTTTGCAAGGTCCCTTTTAAAAAGGGATCTGTGTAAATGTCTTACTGAGAGTTCATAGATGGCTATTTGTATAGCTGTGCAAACAGACCTCGGTGCCCTGGCAAACAAGCCAGCCCGGACAACGGAAAGCCCCTCTCCTCCCCTCTGATAAAGACCGGCACAACAGCGAGATTTTGGTCAGACCCCACCGTGCAAAGTTGCCTTTCCTGTGATTTCAGGAGCAGGAAACCCATGCTGGTTGTGTTGCAGTCTTCTGCAAATTGTTGACTTTTCAGCTGGGAGAACTCCATATATGTTTCTCAAGGAAAGGGCACTGACCTTGCAAATGTTGATTTTTTTTTTTCTTATTTTTCATTTGCCTGGAGCAAAAATAAAGGACCCTTTCATACTTGTTTCTTTTTCTGTTTTAGTGACTGAGACTGATCAGTGATTGCGTCAGCCCTGGCCTTGGATGGCAGCCATGTAAGGCCAAGCAGTGGAACTGTCTCTGAAAACGGCAGGAGCCTTAGCATGCTCCACAGCTACTCCTGCTCTTGATTAACTTCCCCCATGATCCTCACTTTGTTCAATGCAAGAGTGAAAATTCCTTATTTTACCAGCTGCAAGTTTAACAAGCCTCTTCTGCTCCCCGGGGAGAACATGAGCCCTGTTCCCCAGAGAACTACTTCTTCCACAAAACCTTTGTCTTTTTCCTGAGCACAGACCAGCTTCATGGTAGAAATCTCTACTCTTCCTCACCACCTTGTTTGGGTTTGGGAGGCCAGAAGCCCTGAGTAAAATCATGTGATTTTGTCATGGAAATAAATCAGTTTTGTCAATGCATAACTGTAGAAGGAATGAGAGGGTAGGGAGGGCAAAGTGAAAGTAACTTTGGTCTTAACACTTCCCTTTTCCGATCTCCTGTAAACATCTCCCTAAGAGCATGGGCCTGGACCCTGAGGATCCACAGGTACCTTTCCTCACCTCCCACCTGACTGACAGTGAGAGTGGAAGCCAGAAGAGGAAGGCTGAATGCAACTGACTGTCTCCTGGAAAAAAAACTATGCCTAGAATAGGCAAAATTTAGCTTTTGCTCATGTGAGTTTGAAGCCAGAAACGTTCTCGTTGCTACTGCTGGTGGTACTTTCTGTGACCACCAATGAGCAGAAAGTACTTGCCATCTGTCTGTGTTTGTCTCAGAGGGAGCTACCACGCTTGTGGCACACTCAGTGTAAAATAGCAAACTGGTTTGCTGACACCTTACAACTTCTTCTCTTCCCCTACCTCCTTGCCTTGAAGCAGCTGTTGCTGGAGCTGCTTATGTCTGAAGAGCAAGGCAAGAGATGTCTCTTAGGCAAGGGGTGGGGTGAAGTGGAGGTCCCTTCACCCTCACAGTGCAACACGACCGTGGGCAATGAGCCCTTGCTGTGAGCATGACTTCCCCATACAAGTACCAGAGTGCTGCTTTAAGGCATCCACTGCTAATGATTAAAGACACAGACTCACATGTTTATCCCCAGAACTTGTGAGCAGCCATGTGATCATTTCTGGGATTTGACCTGCCTGTAAATCAGATGGGCATTTTTCCATTCTCATGAGTCAACAAAATTATGTTTGGGAGACAACGATCCAGTGAAGGCTTGCAAAAAATGAGATCTGATGAGAGCTTCAGTTTGTTCTTTCACCTGTCTTTGATCAGAACTGTTTCCTGCACAAACAGTTGTTCCTCAGATATAATTTTTTCCCCCTTTTTTTGAGTATCCTGCCTTTTAAGACACTATGTGTCTCTCCTGCAGTATGGAATGCCTTCAGCTGATGAGTCATCTTATGTGCTTATGCTAATTACCCTCTGGAAAAGCCCTCTGTCTTGACCAGAAAGGAAAATTGGGCTGAGTAGCTCAGACAGAGACATCCATTTTATTTCCACTTAAATTAAAGCAGATTAATGCCTTCAAGCACTAGAGAATAGGTCTGAGTTGTAGAGGCACATTTCCAGTGCAGTTCCTTTGGTGCTATCTCTCACCTTTGCTAGGCTGCAGAGATGCCTGGAGTTAAGTAATGACATAGAGAAGGGATCTGTTGCTTGCATATGTCCCCATTTAGAAGTGCTTTACTGCTTAGAAGAGCATTTTAGAAGTGCTCTTTTAGCCACGGTGTCTTGTTGGATTTTGGGATTGCCTTTGCAGTGTTTGTGAAAATTTCTCTCGGCACATGACTTTTAGCCGCTATCGTGTGAAAATATTGAAGCTGGGAATAGAACGAATGAAAAAATGTAAAATTGTAGCTTAGTCCAGAATGTCTGTCCCCAGGCTATTGTACATCACTTGCATGTCCATCATTATTGGTTGCATGGTTATGCAAGTTATTAATAAATAACCAGGATAGGTAATGTTCTGTGCTGCAATGTGCCATCAGGTCACTTCTTACCACCTGGACCTCAAGGGTAGATTTACGGTAGCTGTTTGGTATTTCTGTTTTGCAGATGTTGTAGAGTTTTCCAATGGAAAGGCTGGTATTTTTGATGAGCTTTTGTTCGCTGTTGTCCAATACACAGCAAGCACCATCGTAAGTACATTTTATTATTAATTCTTCACTCCTAACAAATCCCTTGAAAGAGAAAGTAGGAAATGCTGATGGTCTTAGTAGAGAATCAACAAAGCCTGTTTCTTGGAACACTGAAAATTTGTGCAACCTTAAATAGGTAAAAAGTAAAAAGCCTAAAACTGCCCTTTTAAGGCACCATTAAGGGGAGAGATGTCCATTCAGTAACAAGTAATTAAAAATGTCCTACTAAACGTGATGTTCATGCAGCTATTGCTGCTTGTTCATCTTTAGTTCATGACATTTACAGGATTGGAAAATCTTGAGAAAGAATAGCTCTTCTTTCTGTAATTGATTTATACATTCCAGAAGACAAAGGTTTCACAACTGGAAGAGCTTCAGGATTTTTCTGTCCTTATCCTCTATTTTAGTGGAGATTTACTTCTGTTGATACTGGTTCTTCTATTTGGATAAATTCCTGGGTTTGGGAAATAGAGGTAACTCTTTGAGAAAACCTATGGAGCATATTAAAGGTCCTTCAAATTGACCTTCATCTGTAGGGCAGAGGTGGGCTTTGTTCCCACCAGGATCAAGTGGATTCAGGTACCTGCCATAGCCAGAGGAGAGCTTTAATGAGATATTTGCTCAGTCAGGTTAAACCTCCACCCTTTCCATATCAGCCCTCCTTTGAGGTTATCTCCAGCCCCAAATACATATTTCTCTTCTTATGAGGCTTTAGCCAGGTGCAGACCCCTGCCTGCAGTCTGGTGGTGACCTTCAGTGACCACATCAACATGAAAACTGCAGCCCCATAGGAACTTGATATTGGGGTACCTGTGGTGCATCTGGAGTCACACTTCATCTTCAGTAAAGCACAGGCTTTGTCATCTGTGATAAAATCTTAGTGGAAACAGGGACTGAGGTAGGTTTTTTTCCTGAAGTAGTTGGGTATGGGAAACACATGGTACTGAACGTATTAGGTATATGAAACTGAACATTATGTCCAGAAAATATCATTATGATGCTTCAAGACCAGATCTGGCTTGTGTCTGGCTAGCTGAGATTATGGGCAATGGAGGCTAGTGACCACGTCTGTATGAGCTATGGCATAGGTAAACTCTTAAACAACTAACTAAACCACTGTAAGAAAAAGACCCTAAATTTCTGTAGGGTATGGCAGAGATCAAACATTAGACACTCTTTTCCATATGTAAAGACAGGTCTCTTGTCAACTTTTGCTAGAGCCAACACACTCTGAGTGGGTGATGCAGTGACATGTTTAGAGTAAAACCCCTTCAGTGCCATTGAGAAAATACAGTGAACACAGCTGAAAATGCAAATTTTCTTCTCAACATTTAAGTGTTTAAATGTATATAGGGTGCCAAACCTGCCTGACTAATGAATTAGAGAAGACAATTAGACAAAATGAAAACAATAAAGATCAGGATCAAGCATTGCATGAGGGTAAATGTAACTGAAAGAGAAGTTTCATCATTCTTTGTAAACTAGAAACATTAGAAAGTATTTTCACAAATGTACAGGTAAAAACGATAAGACTTTTTAATGTTTATTGAAGGCTGTTCTGTTTTTCTTTCCCAAGATCCCTATGTTTGTGTGAAGAGTCAGACCACCTGTGATGCATTTCATTAATCATATGGGAGGAGAGAGATTATTTTTATTCTATTTTCACAGTGCACTATGATTATTATCAGAAAAAAATGGAAGTAAATTTGAGCTTCATTTGAAAAAGTTGTATCAGTTTTATTCCCTTATTTCTATGCCCACCTTTCATTTTATAAATTTAAGAAAGAAGAAAAATTTTTTCAAAAAAGTAAAAAAACAGAAAGTTCAGCTAACCCATTCTGATATTGGTAAAATTATTTACATTTCATTTTAGAAGTCTTCCGAAGAATAAAAATTTTCCAAAAGCAGCTTTCTTGAGCTCAGAACTGTTCTTTCTGTCATATATATAATTAGACATAGCTCTTCACATAGTTCTCTGATTTTTATGTGTAAAAGATACTTGAACAAAAGAGGGCAAGAATGATAATCTACATTTTAAAGGTCATGAAATTAATTACCAAGAAGCACCAAAGCAGAGTTAAGAATAAAGAAAAGCAATAAAGAGAAAAAAGTAAATCCTAACCAGTTCAGCCTCCAACTCAGCCCTTCCCAGGGCTGTGATCTCACCTTCCGTGGTCTTTCATTACCAGCATTTCACAGAGACGTCTGAATGAAGATCAGCTACTTGAAACCCTGTACGCATGGTTATATAGGAAATTGATACCTCCTGCTGTATTAAAGAACAAACTGCCATAACGTAGGTGCTAGTACATGAGGATACATGACTTCATAGTATCAAATATGCATTTATGAATATCATTTATTGAATCTTAATGCACAGCCTGGTTTTGTTTCAAGAAAGTTGAGTTTAGAGAACTTTCTCTGAGTTAAACCATGCCATAAATGGCATTGGCAGTGCCTGGAATATATTGCAGGGTTTTTTCTCTCCTGTCTATAGGAACTGATCTCTTGTCAAACCTAAATGTGATGGTTCAGAATTTGGGGATCAGTCGGAGAGAAACTTCCTTCTTCTAACCTCTACTCTGACTAACAAGGGGGGTGGACTAGGTGATCATAGAATCATAGAATCATAGAATGTTTTGGGTTGGAAGGGACCACTAGAGGTCATCGAGTCCAACCCCCCTGCAGTCAGCAGGGATGTTTAGACATGAGTCATTATATTACAGGTACCAGTAATGTAGCAATTACTTCAAACTGCCTCAACCGGGTTAATCTCCTGTTCTGTTTTGGAAGAGCTGTGATCGGGTCACTGTCAGTTTTCGGGTTCTTAGTGTGGTATCTCCCTGTCTTTTGCTTTACAGGTACGTTAAGCAACACAATTAACAACTGCCATGGAGTTTGTTCTTTAGGGGAGAAGCATGTTAAGGCAAATTGTTTGAATTGTTGTTTGATGTGGGATGTGTCTGTGGAAAAAGACACATATACAAACTTACTGGTAAAACAATAATTAGCATAATGCCATAGACACAGCTCTGCTTGGCAAGAGGGTTTATGAGAAGCATGTATGTTAACACAGTCCCATACTTGCTGCTTGTGGCAGTATCAACAGATGTTTCTTGAACAACTAAGGGAAATGTGCAAAGATTTATGATGGTCCTCAGTTAGTTGGAAGATTTATTCTGCAGTCTTGAGCTGTCCCAGGAAATTCCCATCTCGAGTAAAATATTTTCAATGTTCCAGCATTGATTTCTAATATGCTTAGTGACTAAAGCAGAAACATTTACAGTAAATAAGTTATTTGTGAATTCAAGTAGGGTTTTTGTCTTTAAACAGCTTGTGCTTTTAACACATTTCTTCTCAAGCCATAATTATCCGGTAAGCCAGTTGATGATTCTTGGTCTCAAGACAAACAGTATCATAGAATCATAGAATGTTTTGGGTTGGAGGGGACCACTAGAGGTCATCGAGTCCAACCCCCCTGCAGTCAGCAGGGACACCGCCAACTAGATCAGGTTGCTCAGAGCCCCATCCAACCTGGCCTTGAATGTTTCCAGGGATGGGGCCTCCACTACCTCTCTGGGCAACCTGTTCCAGTGGTTTACCACCCTCATTGTAAAGAATTTTTTCCTTATATCTAGCCTAAACCTACCCCGATTTAGTTTAAAACCATTACCCCTTGTCCTAACGCAGCTGGCCCTACTAAAAAGGTTTTCCCCCTCTTTCCTATAGGCCCCCTTTAGGTACTGAAAGGCCGCAATCAGGGCTCCCCGCAGCCTTCTTTTCTCTAGACTGAACAAGCCCAACTCTCTCAGCCTGTCCTCATAGGAGAGGTGCTCCAGCCCTCGGATCATTTTAGTAGCCCTCTTCTGGACCCGCTCCAACACTTCCATGTCCTTCTTGTGCTGAGGGCTCCAGAGCTGGACGCAGTACTCTAGGTGAGGTCTCACCAGAGCTGAGTAGAGGGGCAGAATTACCTCCCTCGATCTCCACAAGTCCCAAGCTCAACAGTTCTGTGAAAGTCTGTTTTTTTCTTTAAAATTTTTATTGGTTGGACATTCTTGTATTATATGAAATTCAGCCTACACACTGGACAATCTGTTTCTATGTTGGTTTAGATTTCTTATTACTGCCCCAAACGTGGTACATTTGGGCACGCAAGAGACAATAACAGTTCAAGTCCATGGAGCACAGAGGCCTGTGCAAGTTACTGCATACTTCAAAGATGAGACAAGAAATCAGCTCCTATCAGAGAGGATCACCTTTAACCTTAACCAAAATAACAACTACCAAGCAATGGAAAAACTAATGGTGAGTCTACCATCATAGTGATATACATGTTTTAATTTGGTGATAAAAAGCACGCAGTCTGTACTAGCAATATGTTGGAACAGAGACAACACTGATCCCTAGAGACAGATGACAAAATATCCTTCCCAGTGACAGCAGCACCTTATTCACCCACCCAGCTAATAAAACAATGCCTAATAGAATTTCAGGGGTGATTGTGAGCACTCTTTTGTGCCCAGCAAGCAAGCTCAAGTTTTGGCACATGGTGATGAAAGATCGTTTTATTGCTGAAGATCAGTGACGAAATAAAGTTTAGAAGCATTTAATTGCTCTATCACTGTTTGTTGTTCTGCATGTAGACTGAAGAAAAGTCACAGGGCTTGATTTATTGCCATTGGACAGAAGAATGTGTATTTCTATAGCAGAAAATGGGTGATTGGATAGTATTTCTACTTAAAAAGAAATATATATCCTGTAGGAAAGGTATAACACCCAGTAAGAAAGATATAATCAAGTATCTTCTGTTGAATGGTGCTAATAAAATTATTTAAGCACTTCAGCAGATTTTGGTCCTCAGCTGTGTGGCTCCAAAGTTACCAGGTTCATATCTGACTCTGCGCGGTTTTTCCTTTTTGTCCTCTTTAGGTCAAGCCAGGGAGCGTGCAAGAGGATCTGTTCAAGAAGAATAATCGGCCGCATGTCCTGCTAGTCACCGAAAGCACGGACCTTTATAAGAAAACCACTGAAAGCATTCGCATCCTCCTGTCTTCCAAGAAAGGCTACATTTTTATTCAGACAGATAAGCCTATATACACACCAAACTCAAAAGGTTAAAATACCAATGCTGCATTTCAGATGTTGAATATAGATGCTATAAGAGCATGATTAGAAAAAGTAATAATGACTTGATCCTTCCTAATGTAAATCCTTCTTGTTTAACCTCAGCTACCTCTGTGCTTACCAGCCAGCCCAGTTTTTAAACTCGCCTTCTGCAGCCAGGGCTTCTGCAGGGTCTGCACTGCACATTGCAGCAACCCGTGTGGAAATGCCACCAGAGTCAAAAAGTTGTTCTCCCTTCTAACAAGAGCCAGACAAAATCTGCTCCTTTTCGTTCAAAAAACTTAACAATTACTTTTCCTTTGAAAACAAAACTGTGAGAAACCTGAAAAAAAAACCTCCTATGGCGTCTGCTTGCAACACCAGCAATAAGTTTCCTTTCTTTGCACTTTAAGACCACAACTGTTTTGTTACTTAACTATTTAATTAAGTAACAAGAGAGGGAAGTCAAAGAAGTTCCCGAGTTTGGTTGCAGGCCTTGACTGCAGAAAAAATACAAAAGCGAGTGAAGCTCCCTGAGTAGTTTTCAGAATTTGCTTCAGAAAGGTCTCAGTTTGGTCATGTCACATGCAAAGCCTATGGAAGAATGCAATTATTTTTTAGAAATTTCTCAGACTTCTTTTCATTAAAAGAAAGTGTTTTATCCTAAATTCAGTAACTCAGTTTAGAGCCTGTAATAATTACTGTCTAGAAAGGACAGAAACAAATATATGAACACATTTATTCTTCTGTTAAACAGTAAAATACAGGATCTTCATTTTGGACAATGCTATGAGGCCAACAGATGATACAGTTACAGTTGCTGTGCTTGTAAGTATACAAAAACCACTGTTAATGAGCGCTTCTTCAGCACAGGAACTACGAAAGCCTTCCACAAAAGATCCAAGAGTAAAACTGTAGCTATGACTCCTCTCCAGAAATCAGTAATTACACATCGTGAGATGTCCAGTCATTTATGGACAGTGAGATGGATTGAGAACTGGTTGAATGGCAGAGCCCTGTGGGTTGTGACCAGCAGCGCAGAGTCTAGTTGGAGGCCTGTAGTTAGAGGTATTCTCCAAGGGTCAGTACTGGGTCCAGTCTTGTTCAACTTATTCATCAATGACCTGGACAAGGGAACATAGTGTACCCTTAGCAAGTTTGCTGATGATACAAAACAGGGAGGAGTGGCTGATACACCAGAAGGCCGTGTGCCATTCAGCAAGGCCTGGACAGGCCGGAGAGTTGGATGGAGAGGAACCTAATGTAGTTCAACAAAGGCAAGTGTAGAGCCCATGAACAGGTTAGGTGCTGGCCTGCTGGAAAGCAGCTTTGCAGAGAAGGACCTGGGAGTCCTGGTGGATGATAAGCTGACCATGAGCCAGCAGTGTGACCTTGTGGTCAAGAAGGCCAATGGTATCCTGGGGTGAATTGGGAAGAGTGTGGCCAGCAGGTCAAGGGAGGTGATCCTCCCCTTCTACTCCTCCCTGGTGAGGCCACATCTAGAGTACCATGTCCAGTTCTGGGCTCCCCAGTTTGAGAAAGAAAAGGAACTACTGGAGCGAGTCCAGTGGAGAGCTATGAAGATGGCTAGAGGACTGGAGCATCTCTTTTATGAGGAAAGGATGAGAGAGCTGGGTCTCTTTAGCCTGGAGAAGAGGAGACTGAGAGGAGATCTCATCAACACTTACAAATATCTTAACAGCAGGTGTCAGGAGGATGGGCACCAGACTCTTCAGTGGTGCCCAGTGACAGGACAAGGGGCAATGGGAACAAACTGAAACACAGGAAGTTCCACCTGAATATGAGGATAAAATTTCTTTACTTTGAGGATGACAGAGCACTGGAACAGGCTGCCCAGAGAGGTTGCAGAGTCTCCTTCCCTGCAGATATTCAAAACCCACCTGGATGTGATCCTGTGCAACCCGCTTTAGGTGAACCTGCTTTAGTAGGGGGGTTGGACTAGATGATCTCCAGAGGTCCCTTCCAACCCCAACGATTATGTGATTCTTCTGTGATTTTTAGCCAATATCAGGAGCACGGAGGGAAACGTAACCTGTGAATATCAAAGTAGGAAAGTAAACAGAGAATTTTCTCTTGTTTAGGACTAGTATATGAACTTGAGATTTTGGATTTAAATATTTGACACCTGGTGCATAATTTTATGGTTTTTTTGTCTCTTTCAATAGAATTCGAAAGGAATGGTGGTTAAAAAGTCAAACCGGAAAATAAAAACAGCGTTCAGTGAAAATTTTGAAATACCTGACATTGCTGAGTATGTTACTGCTATGCCTCAAGCATTGAAAGTTCACGTCAAAATGTCTCTTGCAGCAAAACTGTCTTGAAGCTAAAAACAGAGTCCTGCCCTTCACTTCTTCCTGCTCTGCTCCTCTGTTTTCTCCTCTTTTTTTTCTTACTGTATATTGTCTACTTTACCATTTATTTAGAACAGCAGGGAGAGACAAGGTATACTAAAGCCAGGAGTTTTGCTTTGGTTACCCCTGGGAAGCACCGCGGCTCAATGTCAGCAGGTGACAGCAGGGAATCGAGCATGGTTGCTGCTCTGGAGCTAGCCCTGGAACCTCCATGCAGGGGTCTGTACCTGAGCTGGTCACCCCATACTCCCTTCTCTGACACTGGAGCTGTTTTAGATGCCTATGTCAGGATGAGATGTACCATGTCCAGGGCAGGTTTAGGTTGGACATGAGGAAAAATTTTTTCACTGAAAGGGTCGTCAAGCATTGGAACAGGCTGCCCAGGGAAGTGATTGAGTCCTCATCCCTGAAGGTATTTAAAAGCTGGGTAGACGAGGTGCTTAGGGACATGGTTTAGTGGTGGGATGGCAGGGTTAGGTTAACGGTTGGACTTGATGATCTTAAAGGTCTTTTCCAACCTAAACAATTTTATGATTCCCTGATTCCATGTCTCAGCGCTGTCTGTTTCTCTCTGTTGGCTGTAGAGAAGCCCAAGGGGACTCACACAGATGAAAGACCTCACAGTATAACGTCTAAAGTGAGGATTAACCCCACCTCCTATTAGCAGGATCAAACCATCAGGATTCATCCCCCTTACCTTTTGAAGTTTTAAGCTGCTGAGTTGCTTGAATTACCTTTCAAAATTGTCTTTCCCTCACCGTGGAGCAGAGATTGAGCCTATGTTTAATATCTTTTTACCTTTAAGCACCTCATCTTGGAGAGATGAGTCCAAAGTTTAATGTTAATATACTACAACTAGCAACATTTACCCTGATAAGGAACAATTTAGCAAACTGCTTAAAAATCTGCTCAACTGTATGACTACATTCAGGAGAGCACTTCTGTAAGGGCTCAGTTTGCAAAGTGTAGTTAATTACCTCTGATTTCAAACAGTCAAGCTTTTACTTAATATTCAGTGTGTTCTTGCATGCTAGATTGATTTTGACATCACAGTGAAGATAAGCTATAGGAAATATACGATGAGTCCTCTATTTCTGAGAACTTTTCAAAGCCAGTGCTTGTTACATGTGATTTGCAAATATGTTATCTTGCAGTTCCTCGTAAAGCCTTTCTGAGCATTCCTAGGACATACAGAAATACGTTGCTGGCTCCTCTCAGCAAAGAGGAATCCATTAATAAATTAGTTTGGGATGAGATCAAAGCAGAGAAAATATTAACATTTAGTGATAATTTAAATATATTAGCATCACAAAATATCTGAAGAATCCTAATTAACTACTTTCTGCTGAATCTGAACTTTAGGCCTGGAACTTGGAAAATTGAAGCCTGGTTTCATCAATATGAGATGTCAAATGTTTCTGCTGAATTTGAAGTTAAATATTATGGTAAGAGGACATTTCATTTGCATTATAAATATATGAAGTCATCACTGTGTGTTAAAAGATATACTGGAGTGATTAAACCTGGCTGTAGTTAGGTACTAAGGACAAGATTCACAGTGTTTCAATGCCTCACTGCTATCTCTGATGCACAGGGGGGAACTCTGGTTTTGTGTGCCTTCTGCTTATATTTGAAAAAAACAACTTTATTTTTATACAGACTTAGTAACTTTAGAGTTTGTCATAAAACATCCTTTTTTGGAAGGGTTCTCCTACTGCAGAAAAAAGTGGAGATGAGATTAATTTTAAAATCATTGCAGTTCTGGCTAAAGTTTTTGGTGGATACTAGAATGAAAGAAAAAGCTATCTATTTTCTCTCAGTAGAATTCAGTTAAGAAGTTCATTAGAGCTGTTCTTAGAGAAGCTTTTTTACAGAAAAGGAAGGCACTGTGGAAAATTAACAATTTAACAATCGGGGTAAGAAATAGCTTGATTTATTTGCACTGAAATTATGCTTTCTTGTAGAATTTACTGTGAGGGGGTTTTTTTCTTAAAGGCAAAAGAAAACCTCAGGAAAAATTAAAATCTAAGTTTTACAAAACTGGTTTTGCCATAGTTAGTGGGTGTAACAGAATAGTGGAGACAACTGCATCCTCTGCAAACACCTACACCCAGGAGGGAATTACTCTGGCTATATCCACAGTAGCAAATACTTTGGCTTTGTAGGAGCAAACTGCAGAGTAACACAGCTGATGCTGAGAACCTCACGTCCACACTCAGCCCATTTCAGGGCAGATTTACTTCAGGCTGCTTCTAGTCCAGGGCACTTAATGCCCATCAGCAAGTAGAGCTTATCTTCTGGCTTATTTTCCTTGTGAATAAATCAATTTTGTGTGCTCAGAGACTGCTCCACTGTGAAGACAAAGAATGTGAAGCAAAGCAGAATAAGGGAAGGTGATCAGGAGGTTTGCTTTAGAAGCGCACTGCTCATCCAAACTCAAACATCCTCTCCATGGGTGTTGCCACATGCCAGGAGTTTAAGGTATGTTTGAAAATCTCATGTCATAACCTTCTGTCTTCTTTTTTTTCATGCAGAACTTCCGTCTTTTGAAGTCAAACTCATCCCACTTCAGCCATACTACCACATCTGGAATGAAAACTTTGTGTTTGATATTGAGGCAAAGTAGGTGTGCTCACAGCGAGGCCGTTTTACAAGGCAGATAAGTAGATAATGAATTACGCAGAATCTTCCTTTTTCTTGTCTTTAAGAGCTAACCAGCTTCTGGCTTCACTTGAATCCAACTTTGATCTTATATACTCTCTGTTTCCACTAATAACTTGAGGCACCAGTGTAAAATGCCACCTGGGTCCAAGTGGTGGTGATCAAAATGGAACAAGATTTTCTGAATATTTTAGTTTGCTAGTTAAAAGGTGGCTATTTAAGATTCGCCTCTGTGTTGCTAGGTAAGGTCACAGGCAAACTGACAACCTGCTTTGCTGTATACTTTTTGGCTTAAACATCCAGAAACACTCTAAAACCTCAGATGTTGCTGTTTAATGTAATTCAAGTAGTAGATGAATTCATGTCTGGGTATGAAATTTGTAGTATATATGTGTGTATATATATGAAGTATATATATGAAGTAATAAGCTAGTGTTTATTTTAGGGTAATGATTTTATGCAGAAATGCTTCCAGGTGAATAAATACAGTTAATCAGAGGAGTTTTCATGGCCATCGCTGCTGACACGTGCATTAGTGCGCGGTAGCGTGATGCTGATCTGGATGAGACAGGGCTACAAAGCTCCCAGACTGGCCAAACCATCAGGCAGGGCTCAACAGAGAATAAATTATACTTGATCTCCTATCAAATTATAATCGTATCAAACATAGAGTAACTTAGAAGGTCAGACAATGAAAATTCAACCCATCAGGAATACTGTGGAAGAATCAAACAGAGGCTCGATTGAGTAAGTATTTTGTGCTGTATGGCTCTGGTATTTTTGATCCCACACAGACATATCTAAATTTGCTGTATGATCGAATAGTGGCTCAACAACATCTGTCAAGCCTTCTTGGCTGTTGAATTTTCAAGTTTCTTAGGAGTGGAAACACTAAATGACTGCCTGTTAGGAGAGTGTTCTTCCCTTATTTACTACTCAGCTGGAGTACAAAATGACTAGAAATATCTTAGCCACCTTGCACTTTGGGAAGATGGAGAGAGAAAATCAAACAGTTCTCTGGAGACTCAGTGATGTCTTTCCTTTTCACTGAAGTCACCACTCATGCAACTAGAGTTGATGACTTTGGTAAGATATATTTATATAGGATTTGTACGTCCAGGATCTACATGCCAGTCATTTAAGTGAAGTGGTTCCATGTGGCATTAGTTCAGATGTTATAAATTTGATTTACAGTTAGATTTTAAACCTGTTCTAAAGATGACTGGGTGCAAAAAAACCCAAAATTCATGGTATGAAAATGGTATCATATTGATGAAAGAGTATGTGAAGTTCCTCCACGAAAAGTAATATACTGGAAATTGGCAAAACCAAACTTAATACTGTAGTTTAACAGAACTTTGTGTTTTCTGAAGTCAAAGAACCTCTGCGTGAAAAGTTAGACATCTGAATTAGTGTCCCTGTGGTGGCTAAATTAGATCTTGACACTCTGTTCTCTTTTTTTTTTTCTTTTTCTGAAGAGGAATGAATTTTATTAAATGAGAACAGGCAGCTGGAGGCAGCTGGCCTTCTCTCATAGTTGGGAAAAATCTTTTCAGTTTCAAAGGAGTGAGGTAACTGGTCACCTTTTTGCTCACATTTTATTTTCTTTGTTTCTGTGGATTCCTAATTGTTTGTATCTTTAAAGATCAGAAATTATATAAGCAAATACTATCAAACTGAGTAGGTTTTTAGGATATTGCCAAACATACTGGATAGTTGATATGGAAGAAATACATCTCCTGAAATAAGGCACTCTGCATTATCTAAATAACACCGAAATATTTATTCTGTTTATTTCTCCCTATCTAGACAAAAGCTCAGATTTATTTCAGGGCAATTTTGATGCATCAGAAGAGTTGAATGCATAAAATCAGCAAGTAATATCAAATCTTCACTAGGAACAGCTCCTTTAAAAATAATTCAGCACCACATGGGTCTTGAGATTGATTCACTATGCTCGTTAAGATTCTTTAACACAAAACGACAAATAGGATTACATAGGGTTATAGTAACTAGTATTCTTAAATGTATTTAGTGTTAAAGAGTGGGCAAATTTACTGTACAGTAATGATGCCCAAGATAGCGTAAAGTGAACTGTGTGTATTTTATTAAATAATCAGTATTTAATTTTGAAGCCTGTAAAGCTTATTGTATCCATTCACTTTTAGTATTTTGACTATTAATAGTTTGCAATTAATTTTGAATAATACAAAATTACACGTGTGACACTGCTGGGAGGTATTTTAACAGTGAAGTTAGATTCTAATAACTTACTAATTCTACAGAATAACTTGCATAATTTTATCACGGTATTTCATTAAGTTTCCTAGGCAAAGCCCCTTTGAGTGTTGCCTTTTACAAACATACACATAATTGAATAGTATAAGAATGTCTTATCATTAAGTCACCATTGGATAGTTTGTGTCTATCTCAGTAGCTGATGGGGATGGCAGAGAGGAGACAGTCAACACAGAAGGAAGGAAAGATCTAGGTATAGAAATTGCTAATGTAGCGTACAGATAAGAATAAAAAAGCCTGGTCTATACAACCAAAAGGCCCTGACAGTAACTAACTTTGTAAGTGATTTGGCCTTTAGTTAAATAGACATTAAATATTAGCATTGAACTACGTGAGTGCACATGACTAAAGTGTCATCACTACCACAACCATTTGTGTTTCATCTTGTGTTTGACCCTGGAAAGCCCTCAAAACTGAGACCAGCAAATAAATTATTGTTATACTCAAACATTATTTAATATCTTTTGAGATATTATTTCTTAGATGTTTTCCTTGTATGAGGAATTATTCTCATACTGTAGGACATTTGTCTGCATTTGAACATGACACCAGAAAAGATATTTGAGCCACTTGGCTATTAAATTAAACAGTTCCAGGAAAGGTTCCTGAGCCCCAGAGCTTGGCTGCGGTGGCTTGGCTGGTGTGTGGCATGGGCTCGGCCTCAGCCATACAGCACTCCCCAGAAATTCCTGGAAACTCTTCAG